CAAAGAACCCAAGAAGGGCTCCCACAGGACATACAGAACATCCCACAGCAATCAACTCTTAGAAACAGTGGTTCTATGCTTCTATTGAAGCAGCAGCGTGTAGCCCAGAAACTTTTCTTTTTGTAGTAGCAAGGACTAAATCTACCATGCAGCATAGTGTGCCAGTTGTAGATGCCTCATTCTCGCCATACTGCCCATCAAATGCTCACACCAGGAACCCACCAACTTGAGAGCGACAATTAGGAAGCTGCTTTTAGCTCCATTTTAGAACCTTTTTTAAGGTTTTAGGTGGAAACTCTTGCCAACCCATTGGGCGCAATTTGTAGCTGGATTTTTCTCTCCAGGTTCGGCCAAACCCCGGCAGCCAGACAACCCACATATAAAATAAAGACACAGATATTTATATTGTTTACAAACTGTATGGCCATGGTAGGCTTCTTGCTAACTGTTTTTATATCTTAAATTAACCCATTTATATTAATCTATAAGTTGCCATGTCGATCATGGCTTACTGGTATCTTAACATCTGCATCTCTCTGACTCAGTCTTCCACTTCCCAGAATTTTCCTCTCTCCTTGTCCCGTCTATACTTCCTTCCTGGCTACTGGCCAATCAGTGCTTTATTTATTAACCAATCAGAACAACACATTTAACACACAGAACATCCCACAGCACTACTATGATAAACAATTATGCTGGGTACTGTAGTCTAAGTTGGTAGTTGTGGTTTTTAAGAATTTGGAATGCATTGCTCAAGTCTCATCTGTCTTTAAGAGTTGTCATTGAGAAATCAGATGTTGTTACTATTGGTTCTTCTAGATTCATGACTTGTGTCTCTTTTTCTTTTGCAGCAATCAACTATTTTTTGTTCCACAAGTTTAGTGTTTTAACTATGATATGCCTTGTGGAGTTTGTTTTCTGGTCTTGCCTTGTTAGGTTAGATCATATTTCTCTATATGAATATGTATTTCTTTAGTTTCAGAAAGTTTTCTTCTATAATCTGGTTAGAGAATCAGTTTGCCATAGACATGGGGTTCTTTTTTTTCCTCATATATGCTAGTAATTTAAGGTTTTTTTCCTTGGTGTCTGAAATTTCCTGTATGTTTCTTAATTGTGCTTTTTAAAGTTCTTCATGTTATTTGCTTATTTGTCTAGATCCTCTACTTTAATTTCAATTCTTGATACTCTTTCTTCTACTTGGTAAATTCCACTTGTAAGGCTTTCCTCTGAGTTCTTGAATTGTGATATTGAGTTTTTTAAGTCTACCTTCAATTCAGATCGTGCTTTCTTCAATGTTTCTCTTCATTGAATTAGGTTTTCAAAGTCCTGAAGTATATTTATCATTTTAATCATCCATATATGTGCATTTTCTTGGACATCTTTCAGGCATTTACTGTAATCCTATAGAGTTCAGTGTAGTATGTTTGTTTATGTCATCTTTAAAAGCTTTAACACTTTGATAAAGTTTATGATCATTGTTTTAAAGTCTGTGTCCTGAGGTTCATCACAATAGTTCTTTTTAGACAACTTTTACAGAACCAGTGGCTTGGATGGAAGTCACACTGTCTTGGAAATTCATGTTTGTTTTTGTTGTTGGTGATGGTTTGTTTTTTGTTTTGTGTGTGTGTGTTTATATTTTACTACTTGACCTACATTTGTGTATTTATTTCTTTTGTTGTATATCTGATATAAGAATCTGGCATAACTTAGATTGGGCCGGTATAGGATTCATACGAGCGGAGCTCAACTAGGTAAAGCTTGTGAATGAACTTTTGAATAGGAACAGGAAAAGATGGCTTGCTGCCACAGGTCTTGAGCTAGGCTCGTGTGTGTGTGTGTGTGTGTGTGTGTGTGTGTGTGTGTGTGTGTGT